CGATCTCCGGAGGCCCTCGCGGTTCCCGGATAACATCTAGAGACCCGTTCCCATCGGGTCACGGGGTACCCGTACATCCAGCAGCCGACGTTTCGCCGCGGCGAGCCTTCGACAGGCAGAACGATATTAAATTATACGACGGTTGAGAAATAAACGGTTGCGTTTAGAGAGACGATCGAGCGAACCGTCGGGGCTCGCCGCGAACGCAGAAACCTTTCCGCGGCCTGATCCAGCCGGCAGACAGACACTTCCTGCGATCGCCTAGAGGCGGGATTACACCTCGCAACGCTTCTACACCGTTTAATCGAGCCTTGTTATTGCAAACGAGACGAGGGATTACGTGTTGCGCGGACGAGCATTCTCTTCGCCTTCGGGGGACGACACGGCGTGGTAGAATGCGCGGGTGCGAGTGGAATCCGACCTTCGACGGTGGTCTCGGAATTTTTTCACCGAAGGTGGAAGCTCGTATGACGAAGACGTTATCCGTGAGAACAGCTGAGCGGTGGCCACGTGGCCGCGTGCCGCGCAACGGGTATTCAAATCGATCCGGGATGCCTTCCACGCGACAGCCGCGTTCGCGACGCAGGTCCCCGAGAAATTAGAATACCCGAAGCCCCGACACTTGTTGCTGGCGCTGGGGCGCCACCGGAATCGGAGACGCCGCCAGTTAACGGGTTGAGATTTCGTTAACGTGCCGGCCCGACGTCGCGGCTCGTAACTCACGAGCCGCAGGATCGCGATCGCTCGCGTGTTCGGTACGATCCCTCGCGTCCTTTGGATCCTAGGCGAGTCGGCGCGTAGGCGCCGCGCGTTCCTCCGTATCGTCGTCCGCCGCTATCGAGTTAATTTACAGCCGGGACACGGTTTACGCCCCGTAATTTATCCGCCCCCGAACCGGGCCGCGATCCGCGAGTCGCCTCCAAGGACTCTCGGCTGGAAATATTGCCAGAGATTACGTTCGGGTGGCGCTGGGCGCGGCTCGAGGAAATCTCTCGGAAACCGGTCGTATTTTTCATCGGTATGAACGGCCGGTGGCTCGGTTTTCCGCTATCGTCGCGCCGGGAATCCGCGTCGGAATTGCTTGTTCGTCGGATTGTTCGCCGGACGATCAACGGGACAGCCCTTTAGCGGCCCGGCTCGATCGTCCTTCGCGTTCGCGATCCTGCCAAACGGGGATCCCACGTCCGTTTTATCCTCTCGTTATTCTCGGCGCGTACCGTTCTATCGCGGACCGCTTCTCGTAACAATGTTGGATATATCGTCCGCGTTCCCTCGACCGAAACAGCCCGTCCGCTTCTATCCGTTCGATCTCTTGCTCGTGCTAATCTTTCGCCTCGTTCCGCGGCCTAACTTATCTGTCCGCGCGCATCCAGCGCGACCGATGCTGCATTTCGCGTAGCGTTCCTCGCATCTTACGCGCGACCAATAAGACGCCGTGTTATGCGTTGCACCGATAAAAAATATGTTACGCTGTACAATTATATCCTCGGCGATGCAGGAGCAACGGAGATGTGCGTGATCAATTTTCTCGGCAAGTCTGTCATTTGAAAATCGTACCGAAAACAAAGTTGCTAGATAATTAACAAATACGCTGTAGAAGCGCTGTAACTTCGCGAAAAGAATCGCTGCCAAGTTTCTTTTTTCTTTTTAAATTATAGTGGAAGAATCGGACTTCGTTCCGCTGCAAACGACATCTCCGAAGAAAATTTTGCAGAGGCCGCGCGTTTCGTCAAACTTGTCAATTTTCAATATGACGAACATGGCTTCGCATTCAAAGGATTACATCAATGAAGGTGCATCTAACTTAAAATCCAGTAAGATTATCGTAAAGTAGAGGTTTCAAGCTGCAATTTGAAAGAAAAGTCATCATCGCACGATGATTTTTCGCGGAGTTATCGTCGATCAAAGTTTGCCAATTTTTATTCAAGATTTTTCAGTGCTTTAATTCTTTTGAGCGGTCTATATTTATTTGTACGCTAAAGGGGAACAAACCCCGTAAATAAAGGATATCATTACTACTATTAATATACGGTAACTGCATTCCCCCGCGTAATAAAGACCAATGCTATTCGAAACCGCCTCCGAGATCGTCTCCGATCGCCGATCTAACCGCGTCGCATCAAGGTTCCAGTTCCAAGACCTTCGACGCGCGTTCGATTAGCCGATGAGTAACTTTTGAAAATGTTCCCGACAATTTCCTCGGCAGATTGCCACCGGTTTCCATCGACCGTTCGCTTCAAGGATCGGCTGGATGCACGACGGGGAGGAACTGTCGCAATCGAACAACACGGTGGGTGGTTTTCGCATGCGAAACGAGCGGTTTTGCGTAATCCTGCCACGGTAACCGAGTTAGTCGAACCGAAGCACCGCGAAGAATCGACAGGCCACGTTGAAGAATTAACAGCCGCGAAATTGGACAGAAGTCGGTCCCGTGTTATTGGCGGCCGAAAATTGCGTCGAACAGCTGTTGTAATCGTCGAGCGGTATTCCATTTTAGCAACCTTGGTGAACGCGATCGCGTGCGATTGAAAATATTCTTAGCATTCAATGTCAATCAATCTGCTATTTGTAATAAAGTATTGTATACTAATAAGTATAGTAATCTAAGTTATTATATACTATTGTATAGTCTAGACTCTATTGTGTAGTCTAAGTATAGTAATTTGTATAAAGTACTGAGAAGTAATATCGCTTTTTCGTGGCTGTACAAAATTTTATTTTATCTAACATTCGGTCCAGATTAACGCTGGAACTACCAAGCCCTAAACGTGACGAATGCACATTGTTTTATAACAAAGACAAGATTGGATTTATTTAAGCTTCCTGCGATTTTTATTAAAATATATGCTTCAATGACGAAGTTGGTATAAAAATTTCGAACAAAGACATTTTTATGGTATCAGAAATTGTAAAAGAAGAAGATCAGAAACCAGTCGTTTTAACTGGTTTGGTAGCTCTAGTGTTAATTTAAAAATGAACACACTAAACTCGAAATTGGGTGGTGCTATAATGGATCACATCCATGAATAATACGGTATTACTTATGGCTATCCGTGATATTTAGATAGAGTCGAGAAGTATCTTGAACTTTAATGCTCCGCCTCGTTTTGCTAGGTCAGCCCTGCCCTTTAGAACCTCGCAGTAAATGTACTCTCCGAGATTTAGTTCGACTGTCGCGTTTTACAGGACAAATGTAAATACATTCATAAATAATAATAGCGATGAGATTAACATATTTGCAGGCAATGTTACTAGGTTTAAAACAATTCACCTGGTTTACCGATTCTCGGCCATTCAACATAAGTTATGCATTGTTTTCGTTACTGTAAAAATGAGCGTTTGTCCATATATACAGGGTGAACCACGAAACGTGATCAACATAATTTATTCTGTGGTTCGATTGGAAATTTTTTGAGCTGAAGTGACACGATTTGAGGAGAGCTTTAAGATGACCGTATCAATTTTTTGTCAACCACTTCTTTCCAGTATTATCAAAGTTTTTTATAGGTATATAAGAAGAAAACTATATGTTACGATACTTGTCGAATTCGTCTCAGCATTCCCGAAAAGACGGGTACAAAAAATTGTAGGTCAACCTACAAAAAGCTGAAGATAATTTTGATAAAGCTCTCCTTGAAGCATTTTACTTTAGCTGAAAAAAATTCCAATCGAATCAGCAGAATAAATTGAGTTGATCACGTTCCGTGATCCACTCCGTATAAATAAAATAAATTAAATGAAATTTATCAAGAGGACTTCGACGATTGATACGAATCTACGAAACATGTGTGCGATCAAGCTTTGGCGTACCGACTTGGAGACGGAATTAGCAGAATTAGGGAATGCAGTGAAGCAAATGAAAATTCGTGGCAAGCTTTGTGATTTAGCGTAAATTCCCTTAAACGGAGCTAGGGCCCTATTCAAAGCGATATCAAGTATTCCCGACGCCTCTCGATAAGATCTGCTAACGAGCAGCGGATTTTTCCGAAAGCGGTTCCAAGCGAATTAAGCCGATCCGGCCGTTCGAGGAAGCGTTTTAGAGCGTGTCACCGTATTTGGGGCCAGCCGAGAAGAGAACCGGCGCACTATGCCGAGAGAAAAAAAACGAGGGCCCCGCGCGCACCCTTGGGGCACACCCTCGGGCACCGCTCGGGCACCTCTCGGGGACCGCTCGTGCACCACTCGGGGACCACTCGGGAACCACAGGCGATTTGCTCGGTTTCCGCGTGTACCAGTTATCCAACGACCCGACGCGTTACGTAAACTGACATTTCAGCGGCTAATGTGAACTAGCAGGCCAGCGAATTAACCGGCGAGTCACCGACTCGATCCGAGTTCAGTGACAAAATCACTGTTTCAACGACTTTTGCTTGCGCAATCCGCGCAATTCTCGCCCGGATAACGAGCATCGTTCTGTGCGAGCACCGCGGAATTCTCTACTAATCGTTTATGCTAATCCGCGCGGCTACCGTTTGTCTGCAATTTACAGTTTACCAAGTGCTAACGGCTTCTTCGAACAGAATTTTCGACGATCTCGCGCCTCGCCGGTAACGGGCGCGTTCCGCCGATTTTCTCAAGGTTTGGACGAAGGTGTGCAAAGTATCACCTGCGCGTTACACAACCCGCGAACTATTCGAGACATTTCAACGCGAAAATCCGGCCGCTGGTTCCCCCGGCATAGAACCCCGGCGATCCGAACCGACGCGGAATCGCAACGGCCGGTTAGTTTCGCGCGAAACCGAACCGTTTCCGAGCGGAACGCGTTCGGATAATCGAGGTCGCGTGGACCATAAGGAGGGAAAAAACGAGTCGGTGAAAATGTCACGCTTATGCATTCGGTGACGCAACGGCCTCTGTGCCGAAGTATTCAGCGATTTTGAGAACTCGTTTCGCGTACGCGAGCCGCGCTCGCTTGCTCGCTCGCTCGCGGTGCAATCGAAAGTTACAGATACGAAGGAACGCGGACAGGTGGGGAGAGAAAAAAAGTATCGAGCACTCACCCACTCTGGACGTGACCGCCAGCAGGAGCAACACGCAGTTCGCGATGATCATTTTCTTGTTCTTGATCTGTGGTGTTCGATCGATCGCGCACCGCCTCGACGGGTCTTGTACCGATGCGAAGATGAAAATGTTCCGATCGAAGTACCGGCTCTAGTCGGCGGCTGAAGGGCAGGAGGGCGAAGGGCGCGCGGCGCACATACGCGTAAACCAGCGCAGCTGCGTGCAAACGAATGATCCCTCTCGACGATTCCTCTCGGCTCTTCCCCGCCGAGTTTAGGTTTGCCGACGAGCCCGATCCCGGCTCAGACGAACACCTCGACGAATACCTCGGGCAAGACGATGTACCTCGTTGCCGGCGAATTCGGGAAAAATCCAGCGGGACCAGCGCAACCAGCGGGACCAACGGCCAGAACGGGGAGGAAAGGATGGACGGAGCAGCAGCTTCGGATGTTAGCGCCGTTCAAAGCCGCGAGAGCTCCATCGACGTCGCAAAACATATGCTACGGTCACGAAGAGAGAAAGGTGACTGGGTATACGCAAGGCGTGCTCAATACCTCCTGTCTTCTTGGCATAGTCACCTTTCTAGCAAACCAGCAACAAAGAAGAAGGGAGTGTTGGCTCGGTATACCTCGCGGCCACCACCATTCTCGCGTTCGCCGATCACCGAACGATGGTGGTGGCCGCGTCGCCGACGGTGGTGGTGGTACCACGGTGTACACCGATCCCCGATCGCCTTCCACCGACGAAATCCGCCTTCCTTCGATCAAACTTTTTCCAGTTTCCCGTTTCTCGTATCGGTAACCCTGAAACCGTTCTCGGCTTACGCCGCGACCAGAGAAAACTCGCTCCATCCTCTGCGAACGAAACGCATCCCCGAAGGGTTAAGTTGTCGTCGTCCGCGAAACGCGGCTCGTAAAATCCGCTGAATTATGCCTACCTTGTCACCTCATGCGACTCCCCCGGGAGTACAGTTCCTGTTCCCAGGGTCCGTCGAGCGAGCCGCCTCGCGATGCCGATGTTTCGTAAAGTAGACGTTCTACGCGCGTCCCGAGGCCTGTCTACGGTGAATCGGAAAATATGGTTGAATGTGTCTTCGTCGCACGAACGGATTATCTCCCAGGTTTGTATAAAAACTTTATTTTTTTTTTTTTGTTTCTTCGGCCATATAAAATCATCAATATTTGTTCAAATACACGTTAGTCTGACGCAACATGATTATACATCGACGATCAGCTTCGAACGAATGAAAAACCATAGATTCGTTAAGTAACATCCAACTGTCTATGCTTAACGTTAAAATACCGTCATGGTTCGGACCGGGGGGCTGAACCGTCCCCCCCGAGCGTGCTGGATTCGCGACGATCCTTCGCCGTTCCTTTTTTTTCCCGTTGGGAGAACCGAGCCCCGGGAAAACTTCCGTCGTTAAGATTCCAGTCGCGGAGAAACAAAACTGCAAAGGATCGCCGCGCGTCGAACACGCTCGAGGTTGACCAGCCCCTCGAAGCGTAACGTTTTGGTACCCTTCTCTCTTACTCTTTCTCTTCTTTCGCGAGCGTAATACCTTTGTTCGGAGGAGAAGCGTTCTTCGGTTTTGCACAGTCCCGCACCTAATTAAATTCGTGGTTGGCGAAGAATACGCAGGAAAAAAGAGGAGAAGCGCTTTGTGTTTCCGTAGCGGTGTTCGCTGGTCGTGAAAAAGTCGCGACGACGCGCACGGTTCTCGCACGGTGAACAGTGAAAAAATAATTATATACACACGTGAGTCCTCGCGTTCGAGCGAGGGGAAAACATTCGATTGGAAAAGAGGGCGATTCTTCGTTCCTGCTGACCCTTCGGGCATCATACGAAATCAGGGGTACGATAAAAAATAGAAGATCTCACGTAACATCGATCGCGTCGGGTGTACAGAAAGAAAGCCGTTCGCGAGTACTGGCGGAGAACCCGTTTGTCAGTCGTTTGCGAGTATTCGTACAGCGTGCATATCGATATTGCCAAATGTATCTTGAACGTGCGACGTTTATGGCACATTTTCATTGAAGAAATTTCCGCGACAGGTGTCCGCGTGTTACGGCGTAATAACGGAGAGACGACAACGGCAACGATTAGGAAGATCAAAGGTGCTGGAACTTTCTTTTTGTACAGCCGATGGATCGCGGCTTCTCGCGGCCGCCGAAAATGCCGTTGACGGAATTACGAAATCCTTTTTTTTTCTTTTTCTTTTGAATTCTTTCTCCGATGATTACGAATATATCACATGATAATTACGAACGTATCACATACACGCGTATATAATATGTACATCATCGTTCTGTTTGCTTGCGTCGCGTAGCGCCGCGATAAACACAAACGTACGATGCGCATCGAGTTTACCTAGGCGAATCATTTGCTTTCCCTTCGGCCGTACCAATGTAAATGAACGTGAACGACTAGACGTACTTGCGATATTGTCTCGCAAGTCATTTCTTATTTCCTCTTGAAGGTCTCCCGAGAGCTCGTTAAAATGCGAAACGGAACCGACGAAATCTACGAGATCGATCGCGCTGCACACGCGTCCCGACCGACGACGGAACGCGAGCGAACAGAACAAAATCAACGCGAACGTTCCTGCGTAGAGAGTAGCGGATACGTAAAACCTTGGAATACCTTCTACGTACATGATTACAACTTACGAATAGCCTGTGCCCCGAATACATTAGCGAAATCTACGAGCGACGCGCGCACGGTGCGTGGTGCGCGACGAGAAACAAACGAGACGTCTGGGACCGCGGCGGACCCGCGTCCACCGATTTCCACACACCCGTGATAGCTGATACCGCAAACCAGACGAACCTGTACCTTTTCCAAAACTCGCAAGACCAATAATACCGCTTCACCTACCGGAAGACTGATCGGCAAGCTTCTCAACGACCGTGCCCCGCGTTAGCACGTCTCCGGATCGTTTTCTTTGAAAACTTACATCGAACGACTCGTTGCTTCATAGCCTGGAATTGCCGCAGAAAAATTCCATCGGGTATCCTTGGTACTCGATCGTTGATTTTTCATAGACCATTCACCAGCCGCCGATAGATAAAACGATACCACCCCTTGCAAAAAGCATTCGATCCGGTACACCGAGCGTCGTTCGTCAGCACTAATCGTATATCCGACGCGACAAAATATTTTCGTTAACGCTAACGATACAGATAAATATAAATACAATGATAAAACTCGCTATACATAAAAAAATCTGAATATAAAAATAATTTCATAAGGTACAGGACGAGAACTAGTCGAAATGGTTCGTACGCTTTGTTCGTGGCTACATAAAACTTTTTTTCTAACGTTCACTATACAACACTATTTTGCGCATTCGATACCTTAGCTACCGGATGACCAGGCTCCCGATGCCGTGTGGTGTAATCGCCGGTAAGTAAGATGTTGGCACGCGGGAAAATAAATTCTTCAACGATAACAATTCACGCGATTCCGATCGAATAGTTTCTGTCAGGGGTAGTGCTTAGCAACCGTCTATGCGTATCTTATCCTAAGAAATATTTAAAACTGTACAATCAGCGTAATCAAGATAGTGTAAAAGTCGACGTGGAAAGTATAAAGAAACGATTCCCAAAAGCTCTCAGATAGTCCAGGATAGCGAGCCGCGCTTTCTCGGTTTTTCCTTTAGTTCCACGCGCGAACCGACCCCCGTCCCTGCGACTCGTATAAAATCATCGTTTCAACGACAGAGACAAAGTTAAGCGTCCGATAAAATTTCTGCGTTGCAGTCGGAGTAGCTCGCGTATAGCTTCGGAAAGCCGGGTTCTTTTTTTCTCCAAAAGAAGTCTTGAACAACTCGGACAAATTTCTTGCTTGTTCGTTCGTTTTTATACTTTGCTCGTTCTTGTTCTTTTCTTCCTTTTTTTCTTTTCTTTTCGTTTATTTAATAACTATGGAACGATTCGTATGTACATCAATTGAACACGGCGATCGCGCGACCAGACGTCGCGGCCCGATTTCGAATTTGAACAATATCATAAGGTATCCTATCAATATTTTGTACAAAATTCATTTGCGAATACGTAAAAGCGCCGGGCCTCGTCATTCCTCGCGAATGAAAGACCTTCTTGATTCGCTGCCCGACAAATCTCTAACCTTACAACGTTGCCAAAGTGTTCCCTATACATTTGGAATTAGCCGCCCGCGTCGGCGCACGGGTGCGCACAAGGTAGAGCGCTCTGCTCTAACAGCAGTTTCTGAGTCGCTATCGCTTCAAGACTATATATAGGATGCTCGTTCTCGAGGGTGGATAACTGCGTAACTGATAAAATATCTCGTATAATTCTAATTACTAACTAATTCAATTTGCCTATACTTCTTGCGCAAGTTGCTTACAGAGTCTTTAAACAGAACAGGGTCGAGCCTCATATTGGATCGTAACAACGGCATGTAGCCGAAAACGGCCACGAACGTATTCATGCACGTCTGCCGTTGTATAAAATGATCTGGATCGTTCCAGGGGGATCTGGAAATCATAACAACGCTCTAATGATCCTTCTATGTTAATTCGCCGCGTTCGCTGCCACAATTCAGTTTTAAAACATCCTCCTTATCTTCTTCATGCGAATGAAAACGCTTTACCTACCGGACGCCAATTAAACAGCATTTTCTTCAACCAGAAGAGGGTGGCTTACGTAAAATTGATTCCGATAGGTAATGCATTAAATAGTTCGCAAACGGTATAGAAAAAAACGACTTACCTAATTCCTGCCACTGTAGTATCTTTATACAATTTCCGTTGCGTCACTTTGATCGGTGGTCTCCGAGTGACGTGACTTACTAAAAAATTCATAAGTATGTCCTCGCAGTTCTGCGATTGCTCGACAGTCTTGTGAAGCGTCGAGCTCAGTAATTCGGTGTACAACGTATTGTAATAACGATGGTAAAAAGCGGCACCAGTTAGTATTATACTATAATCGTTTGTCCACTTGCTTGTGTAACCCCACGACCGCTGTTAAAACAAATTAAGAAGGAACATACAGTATATGTGCATAGGTGTTGCACAGCGATGCCAGTGTCAGTAGCAGATGTCTTTAAAGCTTTCGTTACCTTCGAGTCGTCCCAGTAATGGGATCTAGCTGGATAGCCGACAATTCGATCAGGAAACGATTTCCAAACCGTAAATGCAAAATCAATTTCGTCGGTGTTGAGTGTGGCATCTTCATCTAGCGATAATATGGCACTAGTTTTGATTAACGGATGAGGATAGAAACGTTGGGATATACCGTCGACCGAGACGATGTGTATCGTCGCTTTGATCCCTTGCCAACGCGGCCTCCTCGGTAGCGGAATATCCGAATTCCACATTAATATAATCTGAAACGCGAAAAACCAAATGATTAGCTGATCTCCGAGGCAAACTATTCGAATATCTGCTTCCGTACTCACCCTATCTAGGTATTTGCTTTTCGCGACGCTTTTAAGCAGACGATAAAGTACGGCAGTAGACCCTAACTGCGAGTAAATGATGGCAGTAAAAGTGTTACCCGGGTTGCTCTTCGAAAACGGAAGTTCCTGCTGACTGTCGGCAAATTGCGGTAATATCGCTAATGCGCCAGGACTAGTATTCCAAACGAGTTTCTCTCGAGTACCTTCCCATGGCAAACGCTCCCGTATGTTCTGAAAGTTATTGATTGATAAGACGACGACCTACATGCACGTATCGCTAAACGCTTTATCACTTTAATTAAATACCTCAAACACGGTAAATACAATTTTTTCTATCGATGAGAAATATCTCTCCCATAGGAATTGTGTCTGCTGCCGTAATTTAAGTATCTGTATATTGGACACAGATCGCACTATATCTGGAATCTGGAACACAGAATTTTACACGTTAAACAAAGAATTTTATTTGTTATAATTCCTACTTATAAGGTGGCCTATAAATACAGTAGACTCTCTTTAATTCGGTCAATTAATATTATTTGTAAAAAAAACTGGCGTGATTTTGCTTCAGCGAAAAAATTACACATAGCTAATACATATTTTGAGCGTATATATTTCTTATTTCATTTAAAACTTCCATATATGTATATCAATCGGATTAATCGGCCAATCGTTTATCCGGCTAGGAGTCCCACGCGTCCGTCAGTTAAATAGTCTACTGTATAGAAAATCCCCTAAGCATAAGGGAACAATATTTTCTGGATTTTTGAGTGATTCTTCGTTTTATCGTATAATGTATCTCGCTTACTTGAAGTAGCAGTCTTTCGTCAGAAAATATAGCGGCTTGCGTCCAATCAATACGTTCGTGAAAAGGAAGCGCCCAGCCATTACTTAGAATAACTGGAATGCACCCAGCCCTTAAAGCTTCTAAAAAACGAAAACTACCAAGTCTCCTTCCTCGTGGCACCAGGCAAAAGGTAGCATTCATCAACAAAATTTCATAATCGTACCTGATGAGGCAAATAATGCATTCAAGGTTTTGCCAACAAGCACAATAATCTTAATCCAAGAAAGGTCATACTAACATATCATATTCCTGATTATCCTGTTGACAATGTTCGTCTTGAAATTCTCTCCATGCTTTTCCGTGTCGGCACGTTGTAACAAACACCAAGTCCTTGCCATTGTGTAAATGATAGAGAGCGTTTCTAGTCTCGGAACCTATACCATGTACGTATCTTTTTCCCTTGAAAGCCGCCACGTATTTCTTGTTATTTGGAAAGTTGTTTTCTGGTGCTTGGCCCGGTTCTCCGCCACGTTCCGGATGTTGTTTTCCAAACAACGGTATCGACACGTCGAAGTTTGGTCTGTGCCTGAAGATGGACATGCTGGCTTTCGCGAGCATAGCAAAACCTAAGTCGAAGGTCAGAGAATCCTCTGCGTAATCAGGCCATGTTCCAGAATATAAATTAAATATCAAATGATTCCTTCCATTGTTCCAATAAGGTAGACGCATCAATTTCGCGGGAAGATTGTGTACAAATTCCGTCGATAACGGATCTCTGTCCAATGTGTCTAGAGCTAACACAAATATACATGCTCTGGTTGGATCCGACGTGTAGTATCTTGATTCCGTAATAACATTTAATATTTTTTGGTATAGCGGGCTTATCACATCCTCAACTGGATACACATACACGGTGAAGCCATTCTTGCATCTGGTGAAGTCAAAACAAGTCTCCATACGACACTGTCTCGCACGTTGCGATACTAGAGAGATTCCGTTTGATGTCCTTAAATCCTTGTCATAAAACTCTTCGTTTAGACTTAAATATGAAGGCAATCGCTCGTAAGGCAACTGAGATCTGCCTGTCAGCTTCTCGCTTTTTAACCGGTAACCACCGAAGTAACAGTAACCAAGAAACGCGCATGTCACAAATAATAATAAATAGCGCTTCTTGGCTTGCATTTTCAATGCAATCAGGTTACACACAAATATATACGAATGCTACACATTATTTCTCATGCATATGTAGTAATTGCATTTAATCATAAATGCATCCTTGAGAATTTCTTGGTTGTTTGTTCTTACAGACACAGGAATCAAGATTTACTCCAAAATGGAATTGATTTCATTCCTAAAAATTGCTGAAACAAAATAAACATAAAATTTTTAGTGTTTTCAAGATTAACAAACAAGCACAGCACGTTTCAATGGTTGTAAGGCAAAGCAATTTGTTTTAAACCTGTTTAATGCATTTTGGACTTCAGTTTTGTCGAATGTTCATTTTGAAAAGGAAAAATCCTTTTCATACCCTTACAGGGAAGACGTGAACTGAACTATTATAAAAAATGCCACTTATATTGCTTCACCTTGTAACGACCGGAATTCGCTCGAATATCGCGTGTACACCCCGTTGAATCACTCGATATCACTGAAACTTCTTTATTTATTTAACAGTGACGAATTTATAAAAATACTAACGATAAGAGACCAGGTAAGTTGTGGGAGTATTTAGTTACCTTCGAATTTGGCTGATTCAATATTGCCTATGAACAGGAACGTTTCAAGAGGTTCGATCATTATAAAATACATGGCAAAAGACGTGACACATCCACGGGGAACTTAACTTCTATAATTCTATTTATACGGTTACATTAAGGTTTACAACATGTCAAAATCTAAATGACAGATTGTAAACGGTCGATGGACGCCTGTCGAGGAAAGTTAACCTATACGCGAATTATCTCGGACGTTGCACAAGGGAGCCAACAACGTCGAACATGTCGAAGTCGAAGTTAAAGTTCGATGAGACGAGGACAAACGATGGCTCATACTTATTCAGGTCAATATGTTTTCCTGATCTGAACACCGCACAGCAAACGAACTTTTTCCCTTTAGGTTAGTTCTGACGTACATCGGATTCGCAGAACTCGCCGGCGTTATTACGCCCATACGCATTTTCGGTCGGCGTGACCACACGCGCGTGACATCGATCGGTAAACGCCTCCAAGTGCAAAATCATTGCACGCAGCGCATTAAATAATTGGTTTAAAAAGCAACGCGAGTTATGCAATGACGTTGGAACGATTAGACTGGCAAATCGCTTATTGGTTACTTCATGCCAACCTCTCGAGTGCTCTCGAGCCTCGGGGGACGTTTCGTCCTCTTTGTGTCTGTGCGACGTGTGCTCTGTGCATGGGACACCGTCGATCACACACTTTTACAAATCTAAACAAAACTGCCGATCAAGGTTATCCTGCTACCTAGCGGTAGACCGATAAAGCTTTCGAGCCGTTTCTCCCGCTTCGATTAAATTTATTAAAAGCACACAATTTTTTTTTATTGCAAATCAATACTCTAAAAGGAAGCCGCGTAGCTTGGCGCGAACCTTACGCGATATTGGTTCTATATTAAACGCGATACTGCCTCCTTCGATGGAGTCTTTATCAAAATAAAGATATAAAATTCTAGTAAGGGCCGTTACGTTTAAACGCTTCTACATAAAAAAAAAATGTCTTTTGCATTAAGAACTCACTTTGTATTCAATTCTTTCACGTATGCAATTTTCTTTTCCCAACAACGTTCCCTTAGAAATAGAAAATTTAGAGGCGAAATAAAATACAGAACTTCTTTTTTATTGTAAAAACAAGAAAATTTGATGCCACTTTACTTGATATTCCTCTTTGCCGCTCGATATTATACTTTCCTGTACGAGTACGTTCTTTGCGCTGGTTCACTCGTGAAGGCACAGTGATGAACTGTTTTCGCGGCAAATAGGTACTATCTTGCAGTTACAAAAACGTGAAGACTTCACCTTGATCGCTGATCCCATGACTGTTTTTCTAAGAATTTGTATGCTGTATGCTTTCTGCGAGCAAACGTTTTTCTATGCAAATGTGCACTGTGCTAGGCATTGCGCAACCTTTTAGATAAACGATTGCGAACGATGGCAACCCGTTAACCGGAGAGAACTAATTAACTTGCTAATTATATTAAATTCTTTATTTTGCATTTTATGCATACACAAACATTCCCATCAAATTATACTATATATTCAACACATTTTTTAACTAATACTGTGTTCGTTAGTGGCAGACGAATCGTGTCTAAGGTTACGCATCTTTAGCCGACTCTGTTTAACTTTTTATGGTAGATAAATCTTCTGGTTAGTGATTATTTATAGCAGCATGCTTAATGCTGTTTTTTTCAATACACTTCAGACTACATCATTGACTATAAATGCGACAGAAGTACTAGGTTGCTACGTGACAATTTTCGTAGAAAGCGACGATAATACATTCTTTAGAAATATTATATTTCCTTATAACATAAAAGTTTTATTCATAGAGTAATAGTCGACTATTATATACAGAATATTTTTATCATCTTACAAGATTAAAAATTATAACTATAAAATCTATAATAACAATCAATATGTATCATTTAATAAGATATCATTTACTGTTTGTTCTCAAGCACAATATGATCCAAAGCATTGTTGTTGTTTGTTTTACTAAAAATATCTGTTATTTCTTTTTCTCCATCATAAATCTTTAGAGGAACATCAGGCTTTTTTGTCCTCTTTCTTGTGTCTGGATATAATCCTAATTTCTTACCCGCTAGAATTGGTATTGGTCTAATTTTTGTCAAATATTCTGCTGCTATCTGCGTGCTTTCCATTTTAATTATTGCAGTCCTAAATATATAGTTAGAAAATCTTATAAACTGTTATTGCAAAGAAATGTTTATAATAATATAGAAATAAAACGAACAATACCTAAGATGCGGTGAATATGCTTTTAACAGTTTACCAGAAACACAACCAGGAATAGCTGCTTTTAAGTCAGAAAGTTTAATTCCACATTTGATATTCGATACAAACAGCCTGTAAGAAATGTACCGTTTTAAGAAATCGGAGACAATAACAGGAACAAACAAAAAATACATACGACTTTGTCACTCTCGTTTCTGGTTTTATTTCAGGATAAACAACCTTCTTCTTCAATTTTTTTGACTTGAGGTTCTTGATTTTTGTGATTGCGGGTGCTATGATCACACGTTTCTTTTTTAGTTGTGATTTCTTGACAGCCTCCAAATTTTTCAATTTCTCTTCGACACTGGCAAATATTACGTAGCAATATCTACTGGACTGTCGAAGGAGCTCCACTTTGAATTCACCGCTGAAAAACTTAGCCACATCTTGTTCTGATTGTATTCGGTGCGGCAGACGAATATAAAGAGCTCTCTCTTTCTGCTCCAGTCTTTGTTTTAATTTCTGCCTCGCATGCATTTTTCAAATCTTAACGAATTTGTACCTTTTCCTTAATCGTATTTCAGTTTTCGAACGACAATGAATACGTTTACATCACAGAAACCACGTTGAAACAATCACGTTTTAGGTTATATTTATATTCATGCCGTTAAAAAGCTATGTAAATACAAGACGCGTGCAGTTTTTCACGTGCGCAATCGAGTTTTCAGAGTCACAGAGTAGTGTGTACGTATAGAGTCGCAGAGTACTACATTAGAGGTGAAACTTTCGCCATTCATATTTGATCTTTACGTTCCCAAATTGGATGACCTTGAAAACTAGCATACAGAGAGCGTTGTCACCGATGGAATGAGAGTGGTGGAAATTAAAAACTTTAAAAAGCGCGGCATTATTTAAAACGTAATATTATACATGTGACGGTCTATAGAACTACGTCACATATATAGTAAAACAAGATTTTCTCACATTTTTCCGTATTGTAAATTATTCGGTCGTTACTTTAAACGGCAGAAATTTCTATACATTTTTTATATATTTATGTATACTTCTTGTCATGATTTTGCAAAAATATATGTGTATACCTTTCGTTAGTTAAAAGTGATTTAAATATTTGTTTAAAAATTAGTGAAAAGAAATGGACGGGTCAACTTACAAACGCATGCGCACTGGAATTAATTCACGCTTCTTTACGAATCACCCATGGCGGAGGTTCCTTCAACAAGTCGCTGTCAACGTCCGCTGATTGGTCGGTAACAACGTGTAAAGGTCAAAAAGGACAAGTTCTACGAACGCTCACGATATCGAAGCCGCGATAACGGTTTAACCAATTATCGCTCGATTCTTTCGGTTCGAAAAATGCCGATTGGTTTGCGGCGCGTGCATCTGAACACTCGATGCGGACGGAGGCGACATCTGGTCGCTGTCGCGAACCAGCTAAAAACGTTTCTCCCGTAAGAAGTCACGAATAGCTGTCTGAAATCAACAACCGGTGCAAGGAGCGATTAAAGTGACGCGGTTATGTACGCAAAACAATCGCGTCGAACGCGGAAAACGTCTTGAAACATGTAAGGAGCTGTTACCGTCAGTGCCGCCGTCGCCTTCAAATTTTCCGTTCCTTTTTGTTCTACCGTCAGCACTGAAAACTAAAAACGTTCGCTCGGCTTCTGGCAACGAGACTTCACGAATCGATATTTATCTCATCGGTGACGTACGGTTGTTTCAAGCGCCGAGGCCAAACACGAATCGACGCACTACGATGAGCGCGAACAATGTGCAAGCGATGTTCGCGTGCTCCAGATGCTTTTCGAGGCATCCGTTCGAGGAGCTATCCCCGGGACAGCAATTGTGCAAGGTATCGTTTACCGTGTTTCCCCGTGCTTTCTCCTCCAACAAATTCTCTTACACGATGCACCAACGATTCCCCACGAGCGTCGTTTTTCTTGTTCGCGAGACACCACGCTAATAATAGAACTTTCAATTGAAACGCGCGTTTCGCGTGTAACCGATGCTTTTCCGTTACATTCGATACTCCGAAAAGGAAATTAGTCCTGGAATCCTTTATTACGAGAGCCGGAAATTTGTTTACTTTATTATCGCGTCGAAGACCGCGCGAATTTTCTGCATTTCACATAAGCATCGTTTGTTTAATTTGGAGCAGAGACTGTATGCTACAAGCACAACAAATCTGTAGTCTATTATTTGCTTGCAAACACTCTTTGTTGCAACCAAGTTTTAAAAATCTAGATCTTCTCTTTGAAAGTTTTACATTTTTTTTTTCAAACACAGTTTTGTTGATTTCTTCTTGCATTATGCCATGCATTTTATACAGCAGCGCACACACATACACTGTACGAACACTGAAATTTTTATGTGTACATTTTATTTAGAACTTTCTCTATATTGTGTTGCTTATTTAGGAGTGCAGAGGTGCATTTCCAGTGGTGAAATGTACGTATTGTAGGTCAGAATTCCAGCAAACAATGTAAGCACTCTCAACTCTTGCTTTGTATTTATCGCAATTGACCCCATATAGTCGCATTAAATAATCTTGTTCTTTTTTTTACAGAAAGGGTAACACGAGCACTATATGTAAAAAATGTGAGCAAAACGTGAAATCCTACGGTAAGCCATCGGCCTGTGAATATTGCAATACGATAGCTGCATTTATTGGCAGCAAATGCCAACGATGTACTAATTCCGAGAAACGTTATGGACCACCGGTTACTTGCGAACAATGCAAACAGAAGTGTGCCTTTGATAGACAGGATGAAGATAAAAAGGTAACGAGAAGAAAACCATAATCTCCCTCAACAACCGAACTATCGCTGTTGATAATCTGCGAGCTCTGGTTTTGTTCAAGGTTGATGGAAAATTGTTATGTTGGTTGTGTACATTGTCTTACAAACGAGCACTGGCAAAAACAAAACAGTCGGACGCGGAAAGGCGGGCGCATTTGAAACTGGCACAGCAACGGGCAGCAAAGCACAAAGAACAAAAGTAATTATTCAAATACGTACTGTTACAAGGTAACTTTGTGCTTGGTAGTTTTAATTGTGTTTCTGCACGATTTCAGTATATCGCTTCGATGAAAAAACAAAACCGGTAACGTTTCCACGTGCGAACGTCGACTCGCGCAATTCTAGCCCGCTCATTTAATTAATTTTGCTTCAGAATGAAAGGTCACAATAAGAGACCGCACAGAGTAGACGTAACGAAGCTGCCGCCGCCTCAGTCGGAAGGCGGCGACACGAACGGCCCTGCGCCGGTCAAAGCAGCGAGGATGGTCGGCGTGCACGATCCTCACGATCCAAACAGTTCGGATCATGTGGTCGCGGTCACGCAACTTAAAGAAAAGATAGCTCACCTTCAGAAGCAAATCTCCATCAAGGATAGCCAACTACTCGCCAAGGATAGACAGGTAATTCCCTATTAAGTTTTCGACTTGTCCTTGGAAATTCGGATTCTAAAATCTTCTGAGATGATCCGATGAATAGAGGAATAATAAAAGGACCATTTCTGTCGACAGATCACCGAACTGAAGGCGAAAAACTTCACGTCGGAAACGGAGCTGCGCAACAAAATGAAGGCAACGGAGAAAGAGTACGAGACCAAAATCTCGACGATGCAGCTCAAGATCTCTAATCTATTGAAAGAAGTCGCTTCCTTATCGAAGAGTTCCAAGCGAGGCGACAGAGTGGCCGCAACGAAAACGGAAGCTGGGACCAACAGTGGAAGCGGAACAGACAGTCCTGTACCTTGATAAGGTAGGACATTATTTCACATCCTCATTTATTCGTTCGTCGATTTAATGTCCGAACGATATCTTATTCTACGTTTATCATTTTTTAATTGGTCGGCACAACATATCCTTTAACGATAATAAAATGTTTTACAATCGACTGTACGAGTATTTAGCGTTTGACATGGTATTTTATTTGCGATTCGGTGTTCTCGGCTTGCCGATCGTTTCGTTTCGTTTCGTTCCGGAGCCGAAAAACGTGACGAGATGGATTCCGTGTAGTTTTGTTCTGCTTTTAGTTGTGATCTAGCGTTTTTTTCCAAGTACACGCACGTAACAGTATATATGATTTTCGCTACCTCGATCCCAGATTATTTTTTTGGAAAGGAAAACGAAACCTTTCAAGATCTCCGCGATGGGATCAGGTCGTCGGACGAGCGGTTTTACGTTCGAAAGTTTGAAAAGCTCGCGTACCAGCAAATTCCATTTGGTCTCTCTTTCTTGCTCGTTACCGCGATCGGTGCTTCGCGATTGTTCCTCGAGGAGATCGCGAGCATATTTTAAACGAGCGCCGTTCCTACGAGAACAAATCGGAAAAGAAAGTAGTTGAAACGTGTGAGATTTGTCCGCGAGATGAAAGATTTTTTCTTAAAATTGTTTTCAGGGACTTGGTTAGCTGTGACAACATACTCGAATGTCCATACCCGCATAAGTCATGTGGTACATTACGTATAGCTAATTATTTCCATTAACAAGGCAAAATCTGTATTATTTTTCTAATTAATATAGGAATATGTATATTGTCCTCGACGCGTGTAGACGTGTGATCTTACGCATTTTTCTTACGTCCGGGAGATGATGACGAGTTGGCTGAGAAAACAGAGACAAAGAAAAGAAAAGAAAAGAAAAAGTTTACGAACAAGATAAAGAAAAAAAAAGAAAAACAAAACAACTGTTAACGCTCTCGTAAGTTAGGTAGCTTCTCCCAATATCCCCGCAGTTTCGTTTCGCCTCGATCCGCGCGGTTCGTTTCGATTTCCACGGGCTCGAGCGACCGAGGAAAGACATTCGTTCCGATGTGTCGGCTAGGAAAGGAAGCCGCGCGTAATCCTTTTAATTGTACAATAAGAAAGTAATCGGTGACACGCATTCGCTTCGACAAGATACCAATCTCGCGAGAACCATGAAAAGTGAACCAATTCGATCAACCGATTAACCCACGGTCGCGAAGGTTGACATCCTTCGGTATCCTGGGGTAATAAAAAAAAAAAAGAAAACGAACAGACTTGTATATGTGCAGACACGTGCACACACCATGATAATTGAGCAATAGTGCTGCTGTAACACATGTCATTCTTTTTTTTTCCTATTTATAAACGACGAAGATGTAAACGACGATGAACCAGGATATGGTGATTGTAGATCAATTTACAATAAAACGTTGAAAATGACATGCCTCGCCTTCTAAGTTTGAAACATATCCTTGGACTCACATCCTGCCAGTGGGATTTCGTTTCCCCTATCCGCGTTATCGTCTCTGTTTTTACCACGATAACGCGGATAGACGCGAGGACATCGTCGCGCTTAAGGGTGCACAGGACTATTGAAACTTATTGTTCATTCTCTGGAAGCCTCGCTTTCATAAACATTCGAAGAAACATTGTCCATCGAAATATTCCAGTAGCTACGGAAGTTGTAGGACCCAAATGCATTCGATTGTATTGGTAACATTGATTAGATCCCACAGGAGATAGAGATTACAACGATGAGAGCAAGTTCGTAAAGAAAATCCCGTTTACGTCGAGAAACCCGTAAAAGTCGTTCAAAAAGCATTTTAGTTCGAAGCATTGCTTCGAACTTTGAAGTCCTCTATGTGAAAGCTGCACTTTCGAGCATAAATACCAGTCACAGAGTGGAGCTCGGATATCGATATCGAATCATTCTACAATTGTTTATAAATTATCGACGATCCCTCGCCGCTCCACGACTCTTAACAATATCCAAGATTCTGACCACATTGTTCCTTTATGAACGCTATGTTTGCCATCCAATAGTCCCGTACCCCCTTAACAGACAGATAGGTGTCCGAACTGAAACGTATCGTATCCCTGGATCTCCCGTCCCGACGGTCCGCGGGAAACTCGATGGAAACCGTGTACGTGTTCTACGAGGTGCGAATGATAGGTAGTGATATGTGCAATATAAATATCCAACAGCCATATATTTATTCTTTATTTTAAGAAACAAATGCTAATTGAGCATTACCTATTCAATAATTGTAATGATAATAAATGCGTAACAATTTTACTATATACGAAGTGTAAGGATAATTAACATTTAATTTATAGTCGTTTAAATACGTTTACGAGCGTTGTACACGCGTGTACAGTACAGAGTTTGGAGTTATCGTTTAATTATTACGAGATGGTAAGAACTAAATATTGCTTGTTGTTTGTTGTCGAGGCGGTTAGTCGCTTGCTTCCTTCGATCATTCTACTTTCAGCGGTATTTACACAATCTTCTCTCATTCTCTCTCTCTCTCTCTCTCTCACTTCTTCTCACTCTCTTTCTCTCTGGTTTTAATCTTCACCCCTCTTTTTCTACACTGTATAATTCTTCGTGCTTATTTTCTGTTCTCTTCCTCGCAATTTAATTCTTACTTGCTAGGTGTAATTTATTCTCTCTCCCTCTCTCTCTCTCTCCCTCTCTCTCTCGCATACACACATACACACAGAAATGCTCTCCCTTGCCCACGTACACTCGCCCATTCGCTCGCAGTCTCTCTGCATCTCTCTTTTCTCTCTCTCTCTCTCTCTCTCTCTCTCTCTTTCTGTAACGCGATCCCTTCATCTCTTTATTTATAATAGTGCGTTGAATGTAGGCAAGGTAGGGAATCGAGGTAACGTACGGAAATGTCGATCGACGAAACGTCACTGGAAACTATCGCCCGCGATTCCAGATTGCAAATAGCGTTATAAAAAAATATGATATATTCGGCGTCGATCGATCCGGCCGTTCAACGCTTTCGCGGCGACTGACAACGTTTAACGTTTGCTCGATTAAATTAATTGCGAGTCGCGAGCGTTCCGTAGACGTCTGTGTGGTTTCGGTTTCAGTTTCGGTCGCGGAAGCATTCAAGTTCGACCATCGGATAATTCTCGCGTCTGTGTGTTTCTCTCTCTTTCTCTCTCTTTTTTCTCTCTCTCTCTCCCCCCTTTTTCTCTCTGCTATAAGTCTGTTCTCAACCGGTAGAAAAAAACGAATGCGTTGCTGAGAAGGCGATGCATCGAACGGACTGTTGAATTTCCTGTCGTCCCGCAGGTCCGCGTTTCCAGTGTCGTTTTCGCGGCGCAGAGCTCTCATGCAGACTCGCTACCGGAAGTAACACCGATCCTTCGAGTTTCCTGCTTCGCGAATGCTCGGATCTTTTTCCTTTTTTTCGCAGTCGCTGACGAAGATCTACGCGCATCTGCCAAGTCTCGAATATTGAAAATAAATGAACGAATGATGAACGCATTAAGAAGTATCGTCGTTTTTCAGACTATGAATTTGGAATTTGATAGACGCGTGTGCACTGTGCGACCGAGTGTGAGACGACCTCCATGGAAGTTACGAAGCCGCGGTTTGCAACATATTGCTTCTCTCTCTCTCTCTTTCTCTCTTTCTCTCTAGCGACGAATACAGATCAGTCTGGTGAAACCCTCCACCTTGTCTGTTGAACGTGTCCGCGGAAAAATCAGCGTGAAGGCCTTGCGGATCGTACCGTCTTCGATTTCCTATCTCCCTTTTGCCATTTCTCACCGTATCTTTTCTACCTGCTGCCGCGGTGTGTAAAGAAAAGAAAATGACGCTCTCTTTCTCGCACTCTTTCACTCACTCACTCTTTTTCTCTCTCTCTGTCTCTCTGTCTGTCTCTCTCTCTCTTTCTCTCACACACGCATTCTTTCCCTCAGTTTAAAGCTGCCTTAAACGTACGACGCCGGCGAAGTATCGTTTCCCGATAGGGGCGCGCGAAAGCGGTAAAGAGGGGCGCAGCGAAACGGAAGAGACCAACTAANCTTTCTCTCTTTCTCTCTAGCGACGAATACAGATCAGTCTGGTGAAACCCTCCACCTTGTCTGTTGAACGTGTCCGCGGAAAAATCAGCGTGAAGGCCTTGCGGATCGTACCGTCTTCGATTTCCTATCTCCCTTTTGCCATTTCTCACCGTATCTTTTCTACCTGCTGCCGCGGTGTGTAAAGAAAAGAAAATGACGCTCTCTTTCTCGCACTCTTTCACTCACTCACTCTTTTTCTCTCTCTCTGTCTCTCTGTCTGTCTCTCTCTCTCTTTCTCTCACACACGCATTCTTTCCCTCAGTTTAAAGCTGCCTTAAACGTACGACGCCGGCGAAGTATCGTTTCCCGATAGGGGCGCGCGAAAGCGGTAAAGAGGGGCGCAGCGAAACGGAAGAGACCAACTAAACGCGATACTTCAGTTCCCCTGTCTGTTAGAAATCTTACGACGAGCACCATGAACATTTGCAGGAACCATTGGAGTTGTCGCGTTCCAAGCTAAACGGATAGACGATGGATGCGTGCACATTATTGATTGCGATCGGCCGACGAACTGGACTCTCTTCGAATGTCGAGAAACTGAGGCTTTAACAAACGGATCAACTTCGCGAAAGTGTACGCGTGTGCTTCGAGATTTATATATATATATATATATTTCTCTCTCTCCTGTTTATCGGGACCGTTCGCTCTTGGAATCGAAACGTGGTGCACGTAGTTTTTGCTAAACACACTTTTCCCCTTTCTTTCTGTCGCACACACTTTTATATCTCTCGTTCGTACAGTCATTCTCTCATATTTTCTCTCTCTCTCTCTCTCTCTCTCTCTCTCTCACGTAGACAATCGATAACCGTGCGTATATCAGTCTGCGATACATCGTGATGTGCTGTCACGATCGGTCAGTGTTTCGTTTCGATAAAAATCCCGCTTGGAAGGCGCGCGCGAATCACCGACCGACGACGACCGTTATTATCGTTTCGCATTTAATGGTAGGCTGCGCTGCCTTGGCGCGTGAAAATCAAAGTGGAAGTACCAAAAGGACGATGAAGAGATGCCCGCGAAAACCAATGGAAGATGAGAACGAACCCGGTAAACGGGGAAAAGAAAACAAGGCTGGGAGGGCGGCAACGACAACGACGCGTGTTATATCGTTCACGGTTGTTCTTTTCGATCGACTGATTTCCGCGTCAGCTACTCTTTCGTCGATTCGATCGTTTCGAATTCGCGTCGAACCGTGCCCGCGAATCGCCGTTCGAGGGAAGGCTCGGCCCGATCTCGTTTAAATTACGTTAGAAATAGCCGCGGGACGCAACGGTGCGTTCGTTTCTTTTTGACTAGAATTTTTCCTCCCGCCCCCTCTCCCCCCCCTAGTTACGCGGTCGTGTTTAAATTTATCTCTCGGCGCCGCGAGATGTGCTACCCGTGTTAGTGTGCGCTTTCGATTTGTTCCCGATTAGGAAGATCGCCGCCGAGTCTTCGCCCCCCAACGAGAAATTTCGTTGCGAAGCGATAAAGAGAAAGACGCGCGATCCTTGATCGGCCGGGGATTGTTTGTGCGCGCGATCGCGATAAAAGATCACGGGACAGATAACGAACAGCGGAGAACGTTCGACCGTGAGCAGATTAGAATCGTCGATTCTCGGGGATAATCGCTTCGCGTTATCGGCGTCCGCGTTTTTTTTTCGAGAAGACGAAAACGACGGGACAGACGTGTTTCGAAACGATCGATCGAAATTGAAAAGTTTGGTTCGCGTGTGGCCGGGGGACGACGCTTCCGTTGCGAAAGTTTGCGAAAATTTGTGAGAACTCCACCGACAAAAGGACGCCTAAAAAATATATATGTGCATGCGTGTATGTATATACATGTATGTATGTATGTATGTATGTATTTATGAATGTCTGTATGTACGTATGTATGCATGTACGTATGTATGTATACGATGCGCGTATAAATACAGGTATAAGAGATGCTCGATCACCCCGAAAGCTATTCTTTTTCCTTGTATATCTTGTTTCCGAAACGGATCTCTTGGTTCGGTACACGCGCGAATGAACGATCGGACGCCCGAGAAAGGGGTTGTTTCGGATCCGAGGATCGATGTCGTAGAGCGCAGCCTACCGTTTCCCGCCAACCGACGACGATGTATACATATACATAATTATATAAAGGTATTCATAAATTAGAGCTCCTTATAATTTACCTTTTAAATTAGATCGAATAATTAATAGTAATGTTAGTATATACAGGTACAGGTCTCGTATAGTTTGCAGTCGTGTCGTCACTGGTTTGTTGTTCGTTCGATCGTCGCGTCGCTCTCGCTCGTTGTGGTTGTTCAGAATTTTTCTGGCGCGCGGACGCCGACCAAGTCCGCCGCCTGTTTTGTTAGCACGGGGGACGCGTAGAAAATGGTACCGTGACGCCGTCGCGTCGAAGCGAAGACGTCGCATCGGGGGAGATTATTCGTCGCGTTATCGACCAACGACGAGAACGGAGAGGCCGGCTTTCGATCTCTTGACCGGGTCTCTCTCGCGTCCCGATAACGCGCACGGACCGGACACCCTATTGGCAGCCGAGAAGTTGGCAGTCTGCGGACGTTTCGTTAACGAGCGGCAAGGGGAAACTCTGCTCCGCCTTCCAATCGCCGTTTCCCCAATAAGGGGAGTGCGTGCGCTTTTTCCATGTGTCCGTCCCGCGAAGGTCGACCTACTGAACTTGAGCCAATCACGGCCGACAGCCGTCTCCTCTCTGCTCCCAATAATACGCGATCGTCGTGATTTCGCACCGGCGACGTGTCGTCGTACGCTCGATTGACGCTCCTGAACGCGTTAACGACGGAGCAGAGAACCGGCGTTGTCGTCGACACGCTTGCAGAATCGAGACGTTCGCATCGGGTCTTGGTTCGATGGGGGAAAAATGGGGACTTTGCCGGGGTCCGAAACTTTGGAATCGCTCCGCGGATCGATAACTCGATCGATTCGCGCGCGATAAGTACGAGAGAGTTTTAAAAAACGCCGGTGTTTAGCCGGGGAGAAAAATTTGCTGTTCCGATAATGAACGATAACGCTCGATTTCACCGTCGACGAGCGATTCCAAAAATCGAGTTTCGGCGCGTTTCGCCGGCTGGACGACGGAAGTATTCGTGGAAGCGTAGCGATTTGTATACGAGTAGAAAAAGGGAACGGCACGGATTACCGCGCGGTTACGGTACCTTTTTCTATGCGTCGCTGAAGCATGGACCGTGGAAGGATAATCGAGAAGCTCGAACGACTTTGGTGCATTCATTTCCCTTTCTCTCCGTCTCTCTCTCTTTCTCTCTTTCTCTCTCTCTCTCTATCCGTATCTCTACTTCTCTCTCTCTCTCTCTCTCGATTTCGACCGATTTTGCGAATGGCAGCGTGCAACGACTCGAGAATATCGTAATTAGCGATCAACGATCCCATCGGTTTCTGTGTCGACCCCCTATACCGCGTTCGTCCGGATTCGGATTTGTGTTCGTTGGTCGGGCGCTACCATAGAAAAAATATAGAAACGAGTATTTACAAGGAAGGAACTTTGTTACGCTCGTATGTAGATGGGAATCCCGTCGACTCGTCCCACCCGAATAAGACAACGCCGTCCCACCGACAAAGTATAATCAGCTTTCGGGAATGCAGTGTGTCTACTAAAAGCTTCGATTCAAGCAACAATGTATATTCAACAATCTCGGGTCGCTTCAGTACGCGTGAACACCGCTCGTTTTCTCCCGCTCTTTTTTTCTCTCTCTCTCTCTCTCTCTCGATCTCTCGAAGCGTTTCTCCCACGATTTTCCTCGTGTCTCCCCCTCTCTGTCTCTCTCTCTCTCTTTTTTTTCTCTTTCTCCCTGTTTGTCACATCCCCCAACCCCGACCCCACCCGAAACCCCACCGTTCTTTATACACTCAGTTCGTGATCATTACACACGCTGCTTACGACGAATCAAATTTCAGAAAATTACAGTTCCGGGAATAGCTCTCGAAAGGGAAGCAGGGGTACGAGTACGTTTCGTCTGTCGTGAGCAACTCGTTTACTATTCCACGGCTAGGTTCTGCGCTGGAGCGAAAGGGCTCATACCCCCGTTCTTAGGTGCACTCGATTATGTGAGGCTGGGAGGTCTCTATGACGCTCGGCCTGCCCACGGAGTTCTCCAGGTTGTGCAGGGACGTGGAGTGCGGCCCGTGCGTAGATCCGTGCGTCGATCCGTGCCTCTCGTAGTTCTCGATGTGCTCCAGTTCGCATTCCTTCGGAATGTTACCTGCAACCGAAAACCAACCAACGTTCCCCTATCAAACTAGCCGAGAGAGCTCGCCAATCTTCTACTCGGCTTTCTTCCAGAGTTACGTAGTAATCGATTGTTTTAATCACAATCATTAATCGATAATCTGTAATCGTGGACGAACGATTAATTGGTCTTTTCTCGTCGTTTGCTATTGGGTCCAGACGAGTGGCCCAAACAAAACAAGTCTAAAAATTATTCAGATTTATCATTGCCTATCATGATACCGAATTTTTCAATTAATCGTAATCAAAAAGAGTAATCATTACATGATTAATAATTACCCTGTTAACCCCTTGTACTATAGCAACGAGTCACGCTCGTGATTGAATATGAATGTCGTTCGTTTCTTCTAAATCGAAACAGAAATTAATTCTTCCGTTATCAAAGTCTAGGATCGAAAGAAAATGAATACATACAAGAAATAAAAATGGCCTCGTTCTGTCAGAGAAATCATACTGGACGAAGAAGTCGCAGTACAAGGTACCAACGATTACATTCGCTTTGATTATTTAAGTTATCCACTAGTCACGATCACTCGATTACTTGGCGATCGTAATCATTAATCATGACCACGATTTCACGTTAGTCAGAATCTTGAATCACTAATCAGACTACTTTTTGTCCAACTCTGCCTCCTTCTTATATCTAAATCGCGTTCGACAGAGCCGTCGAATGGTGTAGAAACACTTGTTTCACCTCCGGTAGAAACAATCGCCAGAAAGTTGTTCATTCCTGGTTATCGCGTCGATCGATTCGATTCGATTTTAATCGATTTTATTCGATTTTATTCGCCGTTGTTTCCGACCAGTTTACTCACCGACATTCATGTCGGGCCCGTACTCGTAGTAAGTCGGCGAGCCGACCGCCGCGGCCAAGGCGAGCTCGTCCTCGATGTTGTTCGGCCTGCAGCTGGTCGTCTTCCAGTGGGTCCTGAGGCCGCTCGCGCTAATGTACTTCTTGTCGCAGCCCTGGCAGGTGTAGGGCCTCTCGTTCGTGTGTAACCTCTTGTGTAGCTTCAGGTGAACGAACTGAGTGAACTTCGCGGGGCACAGGTCGCAGGCGTACGGCTTTTGGCCCGAGTGCAGTCTCAGGTGCGTCTTCAGGTTCGAGGTCGAGCTGAACCTCTTCTTGCAGATCTCGCACTGGTGGGGCTTCTCACCTGCAACGATCGCGGCCGATTAGTTTCCGTTCGGTCCTCTACGCCACAGCTCGGAATTAAGCGCACACAACACGAGGACGAGGGATACGCCCCCTGACTCCGGTCGCAGCCTCTCGCTCCTCCGAGGTCGCCTCTTTCGGCTCGGAGCACATTAGACGCGCGGGCCTGTTGCTCTAAGTGCGTGCGCGTAGCACTTGGATGGCCACGGATGAGCGAGAAGCGCGACGGACGTTAGGAGGCGTAGCCCTCGATATCACAGTGTCGCGAGCACTTAATTCCGAGCCCTGGTCTACGCAGACACGATCGAAACCGCGGCAGGTTCGAAGAGGGTAGGAAAGTATCGCGTGAAAAGACTCACCGGTGTGCACGAGATGGTGCTTCTGGAGGTGGGCCAGCTGGGTGAAGCTCTTGGTGCAGACGTTGCACTTGAACGGCCTTTCGCCGGAGTGCGTCCTCAGGTGCACCTTGAGGTTCGATAGCTGGCCGAAGGTCTTGCAGCATACGTTGCACTCGTAGTGCATCTTGCCGTCCTTCTTCTTGAGCGGGTAGGGCAACGACCTGTAGCCCCTGGACCCCTGGGAGTTGGGGCTGAGGGAGCCGCTCTGCGAGCAGCCGTGGTCGTCCGGTGAGAGGGAGCTCGCGGGCGAGTATCGGTTCAAGGAGGAGTTCGCGTGGATGGTGAGCCCGGGATGGTGGCCGAGGTGAAGGTTGTGCGTGCTGGCGATCAACGCCTGGTTGGTGTCGATCTGCATGGTGGAGGAGGTCGGCAGCTGGTGGCTGCTGGTCGCCGCCTCGAGCCTCCTGCCGTCCGGCCTCTCGTAGACGACGTTCCCGCTCGGGGTCGGCGAGTAGGCGGTGCAGTTGATCGACAACGGGGCGACGTTGTGGTGCAACGAGCCGTTCTGATGGTAGATGCCGTACGGATACGAGGACGGCGACTGGATCGGCGAGATCGGCGACACGCTCTGGTTGCTGCTCGCGGCCGAGCTCGGGTAAACCGGGCTCGACTCGATCTGACAGCCACCGGAGCTCGAGTAGAGGATCGTCGAGGTGGTCGCGGCCCCTTGGGGCGTCCCGCTCGGCGACGGCGACTTGGTCTTCCTCTTGGCCGGGCAGCTGCTGCTCGCCGCGGACGAGTGGATGCCGCTGGTCGACGTCAGGATCGTGCTCGACGACAGCACGCTCGCGTTCGAGTGGCTCGAATGGTGATTGCTCGCGTTGCTGGACGAATGGATGCTCCCTGGGTGCGATTGCAGCCCCGCGTTCCCCGGGCCGGTGCTCGAGTGCAGGTTCCCGGTGCTCGAGTGCAGGCTGCCGGTGCTCGAGTGCAGGTCGCTCGTCGGACTCTGCATCGGCAGGGCGCTGTTCCCGCTGGTGGTCGAGTTCACGCACGCGTCCGCTTGCATCGGCAGATTCGAGCTCGAGTCCGGGCTGCACGGGAGAATATTCCCGTAGCGATGGGACTTTTTGTACGAGTAGGCCATCTCCGTCGGGCTGGACGGCGGTGGAGTCACCGAGTCCACGTGCGTCTGATGGTGGATCTGATGGTGTGGCTGTTGCTGCTGTTGCTGTTGTTGTTGTTGTTGTTGCTGCTGCTGCTGCTGCTGTTGTTGTTGTTGTTGTTGCTGCTGCTGCTGCTGTTGCTGCTGTTGGTGGTGCTGCAGCGCGCCGTTGTGGTGATGGCTGTGGCTGTGGCTGTTGTTATTGTTATCGGTGCTGCTGCGCAGTAGGATGTTTTCGAGGATGGAACTGCTTGGACTGGCCAGGTAGGCCGGTCTCCCGGAGCCGGGCATGTTGCCCTTGACCTCCGGCTCGTAGAACGGTTTCGCGTTCTTCTCGTGGATCTCATCCTCGGCGACAGTCGAGAGCACCGCGTTCTTCTGCAGCAGCATCGGCGAGACCGACTTCTGCAGCTCGGGGGTCACCGCTCTGCTCGACAGTTCTTGGTCCTTGTCCTTCACGGCACCGTCCAGCCCCGTCTTCGCGGCCTGGAAGTTCCCGTAGGTCTTCGTGATCTTGATCTTGACCTTCCTGTACTCGTTCTTCGCGGCCGCGTTGTCCTGCTTGTCGAGCACCTCGTTGCTGCACACCGACGTCTTCGAGTTCTTGCTGAAGTCCAGCACGTAGTTGTTCTCCGAGTCGGACTCGCTGCTCTCCTCCGGCGGCGTGAGCACCTCGTCGTGGTAGCCGTTCGAGTGGTAGCCCTCGTCCGACCTCACCGATCCGTCGGTCGGCGTCATCTGCGACCGTCTCTCGTAGATCGACGGGTCCTTCAGCGGCGAGACCGCGTCCACGGTCGGCGGCAGCTCGTTCGGCAGCGCCGATTGTTGTACTTGTTGTCCTGGAACCGAGAGACCTCGTGTCATTACCAAACCCGGATTCGCTCCGACCGCGACTCCGCCGAGTCCCCGAGCATACTCACGTATTCTTTGAAGCATCAGCTCGCCCGTTAACGGGTAATTGAGCCTCTCCGCGAACTCTCTGCAGTACCAGACCAACAGCTCCTGGTTCGGTAGTATCGGCTTGATCGTGTAAAAATAAATGTTCATCTGCAACAAGAGGGCCTTTCAGTATCGTCTCGAGAGCCGCCGATCCGCCGCGTCGGAACGACTGGCATCCGACTCACCTTATACTGGCATGCTATTAGGTTCTGCGATTCGGACGAATAAGCCGGGTTTACGTAACGCATCCAATTTGATTTCTGGACGTCGTAACCGTCGATGTAGTAGAACAGCTCGTTGTTCTTGTACACCTGTCGACGGAAAGCAGCGATTTTAGACAGTCCGTGGCCCCGCCGTTTCAAGGGGTCCGCGAACGAAAGCCGGACACGCGGACAAGCAACGCGGTGCCGTTTGCTTCGGAATCCGGCGCGATCCGAGTCTATCCGCGGCGGTTATACCGGCTGAGAAACATCGACGATTTAGCAGGGAGGATCGAGAGGGAATCCGAGTTCTCTATCGTAACTCATCAATTCGTTACGAGGCATCAATGGCTTCGCGGGTTTCGCTTTAAGGCTCGCTAGATCGGTTCAAACCAGTTTCTGGTCTTTGCCGGCTTCTTCCTCTCTCTCTCTATCCTCTCTCTATCCTCCCCCTAGACTCCCTGTTTCCCTTTCCGTTCTCTCCTCGCTTTTCTTCCNTCTGATGGTGGATCTGATGGTGTGGCTGTTGCTGCTGTTGCTGTTGTTGTTGTTGTTGTTGCTGCTGCTGCTGCTGCTGTTGTTGTTGTTGTTGTTGCTGCTGCTGCTGCTGTTGCTGCTGTTGGTGGTGCTGCAGCGCGCCGTTGTGGTGATGGCTGTGGCTGTGGCTGTTGTTATTGTTATCGGTGCTGCTGCGCAGTAGGATGTTTTCGAGGATGGAACTGCTTGGACTGGCCAGGTAGGCCGGTCTCCCGGAGCCGGGCATGTTGCCCTTGACCTCCGGCTCGTAGAACGGTTTCGCGTTCTTCTCGTGGATCTCATCCTCGGCGACAGTCGAGAGCACCGCGTTCTTCTGCAGCAGCATCGGCGAGACCGACTTCTGCAGCTCGGGGGTCACCGCTCTGCTCGACAGTTCTTGGTCCTTGTCCTTCACGGCACCGTCCAGCCCCGTCTTCGCGGCCTGGAAGTTCCCGTAGGTCTTCGTGATCTTGATCTTGACCTTCCTGTACTCGTTCTTCGCGGCCGCGTTGTCCTGCTTGTCGAGCACCTCGTTGCTGCACACCGACGTCTTCGAGTTCTTGCTGAAGTCCAGCACGTAGTTGTTCTCCGAGTCGGACTCGCTGCTCTCCTCCGGCGGCGTGAGCACCTCGTCGTGGTAGCCGTTCGAGTGGTAGCCCTCGTCCGACCTCACCGATCCGTCGGTCGGCGTCATCTGCGACCGTCTCTCGTAGATCGACGGGTCCTTCAGCGGCGAGACCGCGTCCACGGTCGGCGGCAGCTCGTTCGGCAGCGCCGATTGTTGTACTTGTTGTCCTGGAACCGAGAGACCTCGTGTCATTACCAAACCCGGATTCGCTCCGACCGCGACTCCGCCGAGTCCCCGAGCATACTCACGTATTCTTTGAAGCATCAGCTCGCCCGTTAACGGGTAATTGAGCCTCTCCGCGAACTCTCTGCAGTACCAGACCAACAGCTCCTGGTTCGGTAGTATCGGCTTGATCGTGTAAAAATAAATGTTCATCTGCAACAAGAGGGCCTTTCAGTATCGTCTCGAGAGCCGCCGATCCGCCGCGTCGGAACGACTGGCATCCGACTCACCTTATACTGGCATGCTATTAGGTTCTGCGATTCGGACGAATAAGCCGGGTTTACGTAACGCATCCAATTTGATTTCTGGACGTCGTAACCGTCGATGTAGTAGAACAGCTCGTTGTTCTTGTACACCTGTCGACGGAAAGCAGCGATTTTAGACAGTCCGTGGCCCCGCCGTTTCAAGGGGTCCGCGAACGAAAGCCGGACACGCGGACAAGCAACGCGGTGCCGTTTGCTTCGGAATCCGGCGCGATCCGAGTCTATCCGCGGCGGTTATACCGGCTGAGAAACATCGACGATTTAGCAGGGAGGATCGAGAGGGAATCCGAGTTCTCTATCGTAACTCATCAATTCGTTACGAGGCATCAATGGCTTCGCGGGTTTCGCTTTAAGGCTCGCTAGATCGGTTCAAACCAGTTTCTGGTCTTTGCCGGCTTCTTCCTCTCTCTCTCTATCCTCTCTCTATCCTCCCCCTAGACTCCCTGTTTCCCTTTCCGTTCTCTCCTCGCTTTTCTTCCGATTACGATCTCGCGAGAAGTCGGCCCCCTCGAACGCGATAGCCTCGGATCCGCGAGAATTTTCGTCCGATCAGCTGGTTCTTACCCTCCAGAAGTATTTCCGGTTCGCGTCGGCCGGCACCGAGTCCTTGGTGTACACTTGTCCCACCAGCGGACCGAACCGGGTCCCCTTCGGTATGTAACTGGTGCTCCAAACGCCCAACACCTGTGCACACAGCAAACCTTCCGTTCAGTTCGCGAAGCTCGTTTTCCGCGGATGAAAACGGGCTACTGTGCGCGGAGAACTACAGACTGGGCTGTTCAATTATCGAACCCTCCGAGGACGGTGCTCGGATCGGTACAGACCTCTTATCTTCAGAATTCTCGCTTTAGGACGCCTACGTTCGATAATAAAATATCGTCGGTCGCGGCTGTGTGGGGAGTGTAACCGGGTGGGATCGATGATGCATCCCCGAGTAGCTCGAGAATAGACCCCGAAGAATTGATAAGCAAGGATCTGAATGGGCTTGGCCACCGCTGGCCATAAAGTCGTCAAAAACGTCCGCCTTCGGAGGGTTAATAATAATCCGGACGGCAGGATAAAAACGGAATGCTTTCTCCCGAGCTTCCAGCAGACTGCCGAACCGAAATATCCCGCGAGAAACGATCGTCGATTCGGGTCGTCGCCGGAATAGACGTCATGTTCAACAGTTTTATCCGAGGAATATTCTTGGAGCCGCGTGACAGTCTATTTCCGCGGTGAAAAGGATTCTTCGCGTCAGCAAGTAACACAAATGCGCGGTAAAAACTGCGAATAATTCCACGGTGTCGTTACTCCCGTTTCCGGTTTCCAGAACTGCCAGTCGACAGTCTGGAATCGCTCGTCGAACTTCGGCCAGAACCACCTTCTATTTCGATCGCATGGGGAAGTTGAGCCGGTTACTGTGGGGTGACCAATCGTGTGCCTTTGGTTTGTTCTCCGTTTGTAATTAACTTTATATCTATCGATGGAGACATATTTTTAGTCTTTTATTCTGTCTATTTTTGAGTGGAAAAATTCTCTTTTATTCTTGCATCTATTCTTTTACATTATTTATTTCTGAGTTATTTCATACTATTATATTATATTGCATCTATTCTTTTATTTTATTTCAGAGTAAAAAAGTTCTTTCATACATGCATCTACATTCTTTCATTTTGTTTATTTTTTAATTAAAAAATTTATTCATTTTTGCATCTCTTCTTTTATTTCGTTTATTTCCAAGTACAAAAATCCTTTGATTTTTGTATTTATTCTTGTATTCTGTTTATTTTTTAGTTAATTACGTTCGAAAGCAAACCAAAGGCACAGCGATCGATCACTCAGCAGTGACCGGTTCCAATATCCTATCCAATTTAAAGATGTCCGAAGTGTCGACCCGACAATCGCATCTACGCGGAACGATCGCAGTCTTCTAACCGAGTTCTAGCCGATAGCGCGTATCAATTGCGTAGGAATCGTGCAGCTATCGCTCCCTCTTTCTCGCCCGATTCTCCTGTCACCGAGGAAAGTGTGACGATTGACTTGGACTCTAGGTCACGACGCTCGCTAAGTTAATTAGCTCGGTAGCCGGATCGGTATCCTCGCTCGAGCCCGAAACGTTCAACTTGACCGACGGCGTGACGCGAGATGCGACGCGGAAAACGCGTTCTCCAAGGGTTTCGTTCGGGTCCTGTTTCGTAATCGTGCCGATCGAAGAAGCAAAATGAAGGAGGGATATTCGTAGATTCGTAGAGGGTCTCGCGACTCTCACCGAGGAGATCTCGAGAAATGATTCTTTGGCGGAGGAACGTACATCGTGGAGGGCCTGAGAAGGCTTGAGGACCAAATTTCTCGGCAGGGACGCTTCAGCGCGGTTCGCGTCGCCTGGCGACGCCCCCACGTCCGGTACCAAATACACGGCATGCTGCTCGAATTCCTCTTCCCTCAAGGTCGCGTGATCCCACTCGCTGGCCTCCATCCTTCACTGCACAGAAACACAGAAAGAAAAAGGTGACGTTAGTTTCTCGGGTTCGTCGAACTCCGGCCGGCGCTGACCGAAAACAAAGAAACGAGAGGCGGCGTGTATTCTTTGTGGATCGGCTGGCGGTGTACCGAGCAAAGTTCGTGATCGACCAGCCGCGGTTGTTCGACCCGACCGTGTCTCGGGAACACGGCGATTCGATACGCATCTAGGTACCGTTATAACCGCGAGTTGTTTACTAAAAGTTTAGCACATATCCAGGCGGCGCCGTTATGTTCTAGTCCCGGCGAGCGTCTTCGATCGACTTTCTCGCTTGTTCTGATAAATAACAAGGCTGGGGCCTATGCACGTCGCACGTCGCGCGCCGCACGCCGCGCGTGTAGCGTCGGTCGGTGAGAGGCACGCGTTTCGCGAACTCGCAAGCTATGCGCTTGCAAAGGGTCGCCAGTATGCCGGTCAATCCCGCTGTCCGCGTGTCCCTGTGCCGACGTGAATTATCCGCGCGCAAAGAAAGAAACGCGGAAATTGCGACACGTATTATTAGAAGGTACCGAGCATAACGACGACCGGCGTCCGCGCTACCCCGTTATAAATAGTTTCGACTCGTCCGTGAATCGATGCGATCGATAATCCTCGAAATGTTTCGAAACTGTCTCCCGGCTGATAACGCCTGTTCCCGATCCCGATCGCCGGAAAAAAAGAAAGAACGCACCGGAAAATGGTGCGCTAAACCGGGGAACAGCCCTCGGTCCGTGTCCCATTGAGATTTAGTCACGTGCTGCGCGAAAATCGCATTTTTTTCTTCGCCTGAATCGGCGGCGGTGCAACACTTTAACACCGCGAAAGTGAAACCCGTCCACGCATTGATCGACTGCAGGGGTGAGGGGGTGGGGGCCGGGGACGGGGCATAAACTCCGAAGTCCGCCCCCTCCCCCGTCGGCCTCGACGCCCCCGCGCGACCCCGCGTGCCACCCAACACCCCCCCAACACCGTCGAACACCCCCGCTCAACCGTCGGGGGTTTTCGCTACTCGTTGAATTTCCATTTCCGTGGAAATCGCGCACTATCAGCCCGTTCACTATTCGTTAACTTTCCGCGTAACTTTTTGCCGCCCCTCCCGCGCCTTCACCCCTGGCGGCTGACTCGCCGTTTCAACCCTTTCGCACAACGGATCTTTTTCCCTTCGCTCTCTTCGAGTCTCGACGTTCTTTTCCGCGAACGACGCTTCTCTCGCTCTCGCTCCCTTCCTCTCCCTTTCGCTCCCTTTCTCTCTTCCGCGTATTCTCTTCGCCCTTAGGTCGCGTTCGTTCGTTCCCTTCCGTTCGCAAAACGCGTCGACGGTGTTCCGTTCGCTGGACGGAAATTCGAAACGAGCGATGTTCCTGCTCGGCGACGGTCCAGCCGTTCGGAATCCCTATAACGCGGCGAACGTTGCACCAATGCCCTTTTTGGTGAACGACCCTAATCGTTCGCGCCCCGAGAGAAATTCGGTGCTCGCGAACGGAGAGAAGCAACGCTCGATCTCCGTGCGTTCTTCGAGTCGTTCGTGTTCATAGGGGTTTCTATTTCTAATAAGAGTGCGGTGCTTCGTAACGCACAGTACTCACGCCTTTTGACGCATCGGTTCGCGACCCGCGAGTCGTCGACTGCGATCTGCGACCTGCGACCTGCGATCTGCGATCCCTGCCCTCTCCTCTCCTGTGCTCGGTCTCGTTTCTGCTTGCTTCGCGGTCGCGGCGAGGGGGAGGTACTCCTGGTGCCCGGTATCTTTACGTGATCCTGTGATTCTTAAGGGAGATCGGCATCCCGACGACTCTGGGCAGACTCGGGTGCCTGGAGCAGCGGCCTCGCGTCGAGGGACGAAACGCGCCGGTGTTGCTCAACATTTATTTGAAAATGTCCGAAGGCAAGGCGAAATCTCGACGTCGATAAGGCCGATCGCTGCCGACCTAGGCGGTCCTCTGCCACCTATACGACGCTTATCGATTATCAGGACATCGAGGAAAAGAAGTTGGGATCGGTGCTGCCGTTGCACCCGACTCGATCAACCACTCGCACTCTCCGTTCTCGTTGTTTGTCAACAACTATGCTCGGAAGGATCCGCGGCGATCGCACCGAGGTATCCCCTCGATCCTCCTCGCCCCACCGCGGCCGGTCGGCTCTCCTCGAATCGGCTTCGATTCGAGTTCGATTCCGGCTCGATTCCGGTCGTGACCGACCGGAGAAGAGATCGTCCGGGAAAGCACACGCGCTTCTTCTCACTCTCCTTTCGAATGCACCACCCCCTAGCGCACACACTCGCGCGTACACGCACGAGTCACACCACGCACCTACACACACACACGCGCGCGCGCTCGCGACCGCAGAACCAACAACTTGGACGTGCTTCACCTCTTTCCGTCTCGCGCCCCCTCCTCCGGCCCTATTTTACTTTCCCAGGTGTAACAACCGGGACGCAAAACCGCTCCAACTCGGACGGGGGTGAGCCGGTCGATCGGTCGAGAGAAGCGCACGAGTACCGCGAGCGAAATCGGTGGTTGTCTTTCAAACAACGTTCGGCAACGCTTTTTCCACCCCTTCCGACGAACGAGGGACCGAGCCGATTCCGATTCCGCGAGCACGCCGTCGGCGGACGGTAACGCCGACAAACTCGCGACTGGTCGTAAGCGAGAACGTGAACGCGAACGAGACGCAGATTTCCGTCGAGAGCACCACCGGAGAATTAACTCCGCGGCAAACCGGCGCGCACAATAACGAACAAATGCGAACCACGCGAACCACCTTGGACGAACGCGAATCAACGGGAATCGACGGGAAACCGGACACGCGTTTCCCCGTGAGTACCGTCGCGTTTCAACCCTTTTTTCGAGGGTGGTCTCCGCCTTCGGGGTCTCTTTGGATGGCACACGCAGAGAGCAGTGTGTGGAACTCGGGTAGACCTGACCTAGCCCAACGCGAGTCGGCTTGGCTCGTCCTCCCCCTGCGTCGGTATTGGTCGCTGGCTATCCCTCTCTCTCTCTCTCTCCCTCTCCGCTCGGCCCTCTCCGTTTCTCTCTCGCTTCGTCTCTCTCGGACGAACGTGGACGCGGTGGTGTGCCAGCAAAGCTGCCAGACCAGAGCAGAGGTGGTGCATTTCTCTGCGCTGCGCTTTCGATCGACCCGTTGCCAGAGGTTCCCTCCGTCCCTCTTCCCCTCGACCCTCTATCCCTCGCCACTCGCCCACCCTCCCTCACCCACCCTCCTGCTGCTGCTGCTGCTGCTGCTGCTGCTACCGCTCTCGGTCTTTTCCTTCTGTCGCTCTCCTTCTCTCTCTCTCTCTCTCTCTCTGTCTGTCTCTCGCTCTCTTTCTTTCTCTGTCGTTCCCTTTCTCCGCTCGATCATTCCGCCCTCGTTCCCCTTCCCACTCCATCTTTATTCCTCTTATTCCTCCCACCCTCGCGCCACACCGTACACCTCTCTCGTGCATTTCCCTCTTCCGTCCTGCTTGCTGCGTCGCGCGTTTCTCCCCCTCTTCGTCGGACGCGCTCTCGTTACCCCTTTCAACCCCTCCAACTACTCCAGCGCGTGCAAACCGTGTCTCTCTCTCTCGTTCACTCTTTTGCTCTGTTCGTCTCCCTCTTCTTCCCTCTTCTTATTTTCCCTCGGCTGCCGCTTTTCCCTATCTGTCTATCTCAACCGCCCTCCCACCCCCGTTCTCTCGCTTTTTCCCTCGTCCTCGGATTTTCCATTCTGTCGGCTCTGTATCTCTGTCCGTCGATGCCGACAGGGTGCATGCGCCGATCGTGCAGCTAAGTTTAATTCTTCGGATAACTTCTCGCGACCGTAACCACTCGCTCGCCCCGATGCGTTCTAAATGAAACTCGAGACGAGCGGGGATCGACGCGTGTACCTGCCGGATCCATCGGCCGACGCCGACGTCGGCGTCGACGTAGCGTCTCGCATCGACGACTCACCTACGACGATGCCTGCCTCCGTTCTCCGGGATATCTCTATTCCGCGGAGGATTCGAATGGATCTGTAAGAGGATTCGGTTTTGTAACGCGGGGGTGGTTTATGTAACGCTTGGAAATCGATAGGGCGAGCGAGAGTGGGCGAATGATCTAAGAACGGACGTAGTTTCGTGCGCGATCGACCGGGAGGGTAGCGACGTCCTCGAGAAACATTGAAAAAGGAAAGATGCCGTTTTCGTGCGAGTCAGCCTCGAAGTCCGTTTGTACTGTTTGCGTTCGCGTTAATTGTCTACGGGCGCAAAGAACGTACTCGAAAACAGCGAGATCGGATGCTTCTCGGGGAGAGGCTCGATCTCGTCGACGAGGCGATCTTTGCGGGATCGAAGTACAATCTCTTCTGGTCTGGTAAATTTTCAAGCCAGACGACCGTCTACAAAAATCCTACGGTGTTTTTCTCCCGTCCTTGTTTGCTGTGTGCTCGAGCGTGCGGTTTTTCTATGGTGCGTCCCTCTCGCACGGTCTCTCCTCGTCCGTTGTCCTCCAGCAACCCCTTCACGGGGACGTGCATTTAACCCCAGCGCTCACCCTTTAGCCACCCTTTAGCCACCCTCCGGCCACCCCCAACGCTCTCTTCCCATTCACGGGTCGGTGCATACACCGATCACGTACTAGCCGCGTGAATGTAAATCGGCCGAAATCGATCCAGACTGGTCTGGAATCGAAAGCTTTAATGATTTTCTTTCCGAAACGGTTTCCCCGCGCGGCGCGTAAACCGCCGCGACAATAGCAGTCGATTCCCGGGCCGAGTCGAGCCGATAATCCGATAAGAATAGTCGGTATAATAAAAACTCTCTCGTTACGTGCTTCCGCGAATCGGTTTTCAACTGCTCGGTTCTACTCGCCCCAGGCCGAGTTAATCGTTCCTTTTGTTTGGCCAGACCCGGTCTCGAAATCGACCGAATCTCGGACCGCGCGGAGTCGAGAGATCGGTAACGTTCTCCTCGACGGGACGAAACGGCGCGGCCGATCGATGCTCCCGACTCTTTTTATTTTTTTCTTTCGTCCAGCCTAGACTCGTCCTCTCTCGGCTGAGCGACGGGGGTCGTCGAACCTACTCGGATCCTAATCCTGAAGACCGGTCTCGATTCCATCTGCAAGGTTACGTGAACGAAATCTGCCTTCGTGGCGCACGCGCTCGCGAAACCACCGATTCTCACCTCGAGATAATGCCGACGTTCGCTACGAAACTCCTCCCAGTACTCGCCGAGAGTACTTTCGAACTCATTCTGTGCAAACCCGCGATGCCATAATTCGTGATCGACCTGTTACTCGCAGGGGGCAAGAATCGAGTGGGCTGGAATCATAATGGCATTTTTCTCATTGCGAGAAACAAAGAATGTTCGTCGTTCGCTAACGTGTCGTAACGTTTTTACTGGCCAAATTTATTATTAAAATAATTTAGTGTTTAGTTCGTTCGCGTTCATTTAACGGCGGAATAAACCATTTGTTACGGCGAGAGAAATTAAGAATAATGCAGCAGTCGCGCGAGGACGGATAAAATATAAAAATTAAATAAACTTAAATATTATAATATAATATATATAATAATAATATTATATATAATATATTAAACTTAAATATTAAAGAAAAATGTATAGTTACTTCGTCATTTAATACACTTGTTTCGTCAATATTGCGACATGCATAGTTTACATTTTAGAACATATGTCAAAACTTTCGAAAGTTACGTCACTATAATTCTAACCCACTCGATTGTCGCTCGAAGCGTCCAGAAATCTTTGAAACCTCACAACGCGTGCAGGAATCGATAGAATCGAACGAATTCGATAGCGTACTAGATAACGCGATTTCTTGGAATTGGTCTACAACTGTATACGACTTCTTGCGATCCTACCGTTTTCAAGACACTCCGCTCGATAATATAGCCGGTTACAATGTGGTGACCGATTCCTGTGCTTTCTTTTCGAGCATAATTAAACTTGATGTTTATCGAATAAAACATATTAGATTTTTGAATACTTTTAATTCGTTCATTTCTGAATACAAAAATTCTACATGAGAGCGACTAGGACTGCGAACGAGTTCAGCAAAGAACTTAATTTCTCCGGGAACACCCTGAGCCATTTTACTAACTCCACTGTATCTGTCGTAAAATCTTATTCTCTGTAACGTCTCTTTTATTCCGAATTATGTGTATTTCACTTGTATGATTTAAAAGGGGGCGTACTAACCCGAAAATTAATAATAATATTCAAAACCAATTTACATAATCTGTTTACCAAACTGTTGACTCTCACTGATTCTCGGTCTGCATTAATATTAATTTTTGTTCTCTGTTGTAAAAATGTGTTCTTCGGCCGCATAATAACTAAACAAATAAATAATATATCTTATTCCATAAATGTAAAGTTAATTATGTCCTATTTGAATCGCGCTGTGTACTCGAAAGAAGCGATCGCGAATTAGCCCGCGCAACAATAAAAGAAAAGGGATAATGGCAGGCCGACGGAAGTAGAACAAGATGCGCAACGCGGACATTTCCTAGAGTCCACTTTTATGACCCGAGACAAATATTTACGGCGAGCGACGCGCTGCGATGCGATGCGACGCGACGCGCTGCATCGACGGAGCCATCGGTGTGTATCGACTCTCAATAATTCACTCGGCGGTGTTCCTGAAATTAATAGAATATCACGGGCCCGGGTCATGATTTATTCGTAATTCCATGGAAATGCCTGCGACGGTAGAATCAAATTTATAGTGGTAATTGCACTTTATCGGCGACCGGTCTCTGTTCGCCCCTGGCTCGTTTCTGTTCGCGCGCTCGTCCCGCCTCCTTCTCGTCGCGCCGAGAATAAAATAATTTCGCTTAATCCCGCCACGCGTGCGAAATTTCAACGGCAGGTCGCTTTTAATTCAGCCGGCCGACTGGCTTCCGAGGAAATTCGAAAATAATTCAATTCGAGCGCGCGCAGCCCCGCAAACGCGGCCGACTCCGGGAAGGATCGAGCCCCGATCGAATCCCGCGTGCGCACGCTGCAGCTTGCCAAATATTTTCATTTCAATCGGCGAAAAGCCGTCTCGGCCATTGGTCGTCTGCGGCCACCGAAGAGAGTGGAGCCCGCTATGTGGGCGAGGTCGACGACCTGGTCGAAACCGTGTGACGAAATTTCGTCGCAGGCACACGCGGCCCGGCCCGGCACAGCTCGGCCGAAATTTCACTTTTCGAGGGACACGCTCGGTTGTACACACCAGCGATTCACCTCTCGCGGATTTCCACGCCGCCGAGGCCTCCTAGCGAGAGAAGTTTCCGCGTGAATCGCCGACGACTACTAACCCAGATACGTTCGCCGGGTCGTCGATCTTTTCCCTCCTCGGAGGAACGACTGTACCAGATATATTAATTTCCTTCGGCTCGAGCGCTCCTCGCGGGAATCTCGCCGAGATTTTCGGTGCGCCGTCGCTTCCTTCTTATCGTTCGACAAACTGTTCGATCCGATCTCGCACCGCTAACGACGATGCGAACGGTCCTGAAATCTGTGCCCTTTCCCGAGCACTCGAGCCGCGTTCGACTAATAGAAGAAAGTCTGTTCTTGCACAGGAATTCCATCGAACGGTACACGGTCAACACAATTGCATAAACAGGATCATCGCGAATGAGAATCATTACAGCAACACAGTAATCTTCCCTGGTGCTTTTTCAGCACCTTGCGGCACTCAAGTTGCGAGTTACAATACTTCAAAATTGCAAAATTATTACAATTATTATTATCATTATCAATAAAAAATAAAATTTTCCTAAGTCAATTGTGCGAAAGAGAGAACTTTCAATAATTTAATAATTACCACGAGTTAACAACGATGCAACGGTATTCTCAAATTCTTCCAGCATCTTCGCAGTATTTTATTGCACCCATCGCTTTAGTCGTTAATGCGAAAAATCAAGAGTTTTCTCATTATCCTTCACGTTGTTCCCTTATGTATGCTGAAGGGTTCTGTCCCCCAAAAAACAACAGAACACGTATAAACAGCGATCGGCCGGAATTCTTCTCGGGTCGAGCACATGATTTCGGGAACGAAAGAAACCGAAAGGCACCGAAAGGGGTTGGGACAGGGGCGAAGTCGTGGGAAAAATTCGACCCGATTCCTGCTAAAAGGTTA